CGTTGAGTTCGATGACGTTGACGCCGTGGAGTTCAATGACGTTGAGGTCAACGCCGTTGGGTTCGATGGTGTTGAGTTCAACGACGTTGGCGCCATTGAGTTCGACACCGTTGAGTTCAACGAGGTTGAGGTTGACGCCATCGGCGCCATGGAGCTCGATGCCGTTGAGGCCAATGATGTTGAGTTGGGCACCATTGAGTTCGAGGCCGTTGGGGTCAACAACGTCGAGTTCAACGCCGTTGAGTTGGACCCCACTGAGGTCAACGCCGTTGAGTTGGACCCCATTGAGGTCAATGACATTGAGTTGGACGCCGTTGGGTTCATTGATGTTGAGTTGGACACCATTGGGCTCAACGCCTTTGAGTTTGACGCCATTGATGTTGAGTTTGACGCCATTGGGCTCAACGCCGTTGAGTTTGACGCCAATGGCATTGAGTTTGACGCCATTGATGTTGAGTTTGACACCATTGATGTTGAGTTTGACGCCAATGACGTTGAGTTTGACGCCAATGACGTTGAGTTTGACGCCAATGACGTTGAGTTTGCCGCCATCGGGCTCAACGCCGTCGAGTTGGCCGCCGCCATCGACCTCGCGCCCGTCGAGGTGGACACGGCGCCGGCCGCCCCGCCGGCCCGGCCCTCCTTGAGCAGCTCCGCGCTCTTGTCCACGATGTGCCACATCTGCAGGACGCTGCCCACCGTGAGCAGGTTGACCACCTCGTCGGCGGCCATGGACAGGCGGCCGGTGTAGGCGGCGCCCAGGACGGTCTCGACGGCGCCGGGGTCCATGACGCCGGGGAGGACGATGGACGTCATGTCCTTGAGCAGCACCTGGTCGTGGAAGAAGGGCGACGAGGCGGCCAGGACGGCGCGGTGCGCGCGGAACACGCGGCCCTGCACGTGGATGGAGACGTCGCAGAGCTTCCCCTCCACCCGCTGCCGGTTGAGGTTGGCCAGGAGGGCGGCCGGGACCTCCGGGAAGTCCACGTGGAGGAGGGGGC